GTAGTGGTCATGGTAGTGGTAGTGGTAGTGGTAGTAGCAGCTGCTGTAATGGCAGTAGTAATAGCAGCAGCTGGAGTGTCGTGGTGGTGGTGGCGGTGGTGGTGGTAGTAGTACTAGTAGTAGCAATAATACTGCAGCAGCAGCAAGCGGCGGTGGCAGCAGCAGCGGCAGTAGCATTGGCGGTAGCAGCAAAGGCAAGAGGAGGAGGAGGAGTAACAATACAAACTGTCAATGATTGATGACAGCAACAGCAACGATGGCGATCACGGCAATAATAGCAGTCATTGTGTGAATAATGACGGCAATAGCAATTGTATTCCGCGTAGAAATCCTAACCGTAATAGATGTAGCAACAGTAACAACGATAAATGCAACCACAGTAGTCATAGTTATGATGGCCAACTTCATGCCCGCACTGTGAAAACGACTGCTACAAAGCTCGGTCCTGTAGTGTGACGATGTGTGACGCGTTCTGTAATTGTAGCAACAAACACAACAGCAGCGGTAATGGTATTCATGAGCATGAAGCCGACGACCGCGAAGACGACGATGATTACGATGATGATGATGATGATGAGAATGTGAATGGTAATGATAAGGGCTGTGGTTATGAGGTTTAAATTAGAACGACTTTGCCACTAACAGTATGATCACAATACATATCGTAGCAATGATTCTTGTTGTTGTTATTGTAAGACTAAGCCTAAACTGACTAAACATCATCATCACCATCCCCATTACCATCATCTTGACCATCGTCATCATCAGCAGCATCGTCATCACCATCTTCTTCTTCATCATCGTCAGCATCATCACCAGCTCACCATCATCATGATAACCACCATCATCATCATCATCATCCTCGCCGCCGTCGCCACCGCATTTATTGTCGCAGATGTTGGAGAACTCATGAGATCTACCCTCGCTCTCGGCAGCAAATGTTTAACGTTTAATGAGCACCCCCGCCCCCTAGCGATGCAAATGGCTCTTGAAGAACTGAACCGGCCCTGTGTAGGTGAGCTTCGTGATGACCGTCCGAGCCTACCAAGACGTCTCTCGGCTGCCTTGGTTGCGCTGTGGCACGTTGTGGGTCCCTTGCGCAGTTGAACGGTGGATTTCCTGGTGTGGTTCCTGTGCAAAAGGCTGGCAGGCACAATCAAGCTCCCCCCATCGCATTTGCACCGAGGTGCACTTCTTCGTTGGGGAGCCTGGGCAGTTGGGATACGAAGTTTTGCTCGGTGGCTGGGAGAACACCCGAGTGACTCTGTCACGGGGCTATGCCAGGGAACCAGCCAACGACCCCAGGCTTGCATTCGAAGTCTTTCGTCAGGGGTGATGCTATGTCGGTGGCAACACTTGTGAGAGTTCTGTGCTGGCTAGCCCTATTCAAAACACAGAGCACTGCGCCTGCAGCAGGCTGCAGCGCCTGCTGACCTGCATGAATTTGTATCGAAGCCCTGAGCTGATGCCAAGCCACTTATCCAAGGAAGATCTCGGGCCACCGATCGCTGTGGTGACTTACTCCACGCCGGAAGCTGGGCTCTGTAAGAGGTTTTCATTGGTTTGGATTGCTGCTTTGTTTCTGAGCCACGAGTGTACTACTACTACTACTACTACTACTACTACAACATTTGTTGGTAAACTGTTGGTGGTCGAAAACGATACCCCAACCGATACCTACAAATTTGCCTAGGAGGCTGTTTGTGGGACCATGCCCATTCGCTTTGTACAGACAGTGTTTACCCATGCCCTTTGTAATGAAGCACGCGGAACACACGTCTGCTGATGAGTCCCATACCCCACGGACAAACCGCCCTTCACCCTCGCAAAGAAGCATACTTAGGCTCCGCCTGGAGCGACTGAATCATCTAGTTTGCTTGCATCGTACGAATCCAAGACAGCCACGGGTAATTACTTTATTTAGTCTAACATGAGTCAAAGATACAGTCATTTGCCCAAAGGCTTGTAAAAAGGATAGGGGAAACCCAAAAACGATACCCCTTGTCTTGGGCCCGCTTCTAGGAACAATAATATTGATACTTCGGGTGGTGGTTGTTCTTGACCCTTCCTGCTGCCATGTCAGCAACGACTGAGCCTTCAGCCCAAGCAACTCGTACGTTGAATGCTCAGACAAGACACCACGATCTCGAGCGCGACTCACTCCTCAATTTGGCCAGCCCACATCACTCAACGCACCAAACAATGGCTGGCCAAATGTTACCGTATGCCTACAACCTTCAGACACGGAGAGACTCACACCCCAGCCAATCTGCCCATTCGTCTCCGGCACTGCAGGACCAGACTCCCATTCTGGATCAGGTTCGCTTTCGGACATGGTGGTTCGATGCGGACCCGCAGACAGGGCTGAGCCTTATTGAGCCAATTCAGCAGTTGTTCTTCCTTTGTTAAACTGATTCGGTCTACAGCAGCCCTCTGATAAGATCGAAGCTGATCGCGTTGTCACGACCAGGATTCGTGTGGGTGCTGATGAGATCATCGGGCACAACATTCTCATATCGTGCTCAGAAGCACTTTGCGGACAGCACAACTTCCCCAACTAGCCTCGCTGATCGCATAATGAATGACATGGTGCAGCTGAGAAACTGCTTGAGTGTACAGAGTTCGAGGTTCACTTCGGTGTTTGAGCGAACTCAGACATGATCACACTACTCCCCTCAGTTCCGACGCAGACGCAGGGCTTGTGCTTGCACGAGCCTGCATGATCCATATCAGCGGCTTGCTTTCAGCGCAGGTACATCGACTCGTCACCTCTCGATCAACTGAACTATGTGACGGTCGGTGCAGGATATTGGAGTGCAGGCCAAGTCGCTTCGCCACCACGACGACAGCAGTGCTCAATGACTTAGACTTTCAAGCATGCTGGTGAGAGCGGGGCGAGAATCCAAGACACAATGTTGACTTGCAAGCTTTGTAACATTGGTGTCTTCGGGCACTGGAGTCAGAGCATTGTGACGACTTCTGAAGCCTCAGCACGTACCATTGTACCTCGATGTTGGTTTGCCATAGGCCATGAATTATCTTCCCGACATGTGTCGGGGTGATCCAGGGTGCTTGGCATTCGCAGGTCCTCAGCGCAACGTCTTTGCAGAGGTCTATGTTTGCCCCAGGCCGATCCGAGAAATGTATGCAGTGCTGGAACCTGATGGAAGCCTGTGGCCTCGAGAAGCACTCGCACTGTGCGCACTTAGTGGTACCATGTAGTGATTAATGAATACAGCTCAAAACCATTGCTAGAGAAGAGCATGGTACTTGACAGGGTCATAGGTAGTAGAGCAGTGTGCAGATGGCCTCCCTTGACCACCTAAGCCTTCAACCTTCGTACTCGATGTTGCCGACGTAGCTGGGCCAGGCCGGGCAACCTGCTACAGGGCCGGTACATCCAATCCTCCTCTGTTGCCTTTGGCGGGCTCGCAGAGAAGGCCAGGCAGATTTCATGCTTCGGGCCGATGATTCGAGATTCAGGGTTGAGGCTGTTTGAGCTTCGGACCCAGTGCGCTTCATGTAGTCGCAGTTGATCCAAATGCCGGCGTGGAAGAAGCTGGCTTCACCTCAGAGTGATAAGGCAGTGGATGGAGCTTGGGGCGACAATACCTTTTGTGAGTACTGCGCGGCGCATCTCGGTCGTCGTCAGCAGTTTCGTTTGGAGTAACTGGAATGCTAGGGGACTTCGCTTGAAATCCGAGGAACGATCCTGTTCACGTTTGCGCCTCGACGCGCCGGCAGGATCACCTTTTTGACATAGGGTACATGAAGAGAGCACTCCATGCCTGTGACCTCCGAAACCTCTTCCTAGGACTCCAAAAATCACACAGTATGCGACACAGGACAACGTGAATACACCTTACTTCCGAATTGATCTCGGTGACCTGCTCTACCGCATCAGGGCCATCCGATGCTTGGAAACCAAAAGAAGCATACTCTGCCCTGTTCTGGTGCAAACGGAATAAATATGCTGCTGTTGAGGTAGTTTCTTCGAAGTTAAGGGTCTCGGGATCCCGCAGAAGCTTGATTCATCAAGGATTGGTGGTGCCAACGGATGGCCGCCCAGAGCAGTCTGCTGATTGGTCTGTTTTCGCACCTCGGCTTTGTGTTCCTCGCTCCTGAGAGAGTGTTAAGTTGCTCGCTTCCGTGGCAAAAACCGCTAAGGTGGGTACAGCCGGAAGCCGCCAGACCGACACGCTTTGTACAGCCACTCTTCACTGTTCAGAATATCCTTTTTTTTGGACCACGTCTGCAAGCTCCTGTAGCCAAAAGTAGCCCGTTTCACTGGTGCACCAAAACCGACAGTCTCTTCTCCGTCCTATTTTTCAAGCATGCTAAGGTCATTGCAGACGCCACCGGCGACCATGTATGGCCATGCAGCACAGCATCTTTAATCAAGTTAGATTTGGATGCTGCTAAATGGAGCTTAGCCGGTTAGCCTTGTTCAGCTTTACAATGTGGCCAGAGTGCGTGCAGTCTTGCGGGCTCCGGGGCCCGGTTAGGACTGCTTGCAGGATGCTGTCATTTTCGGACCAACAGCAATCGTAGTGGCGCGTCATTGTAGGCATGCTCCATCATTTTTCTAGCGCCTCACCATGCCTCAATGCCTCACCCTGTCTGACAAGGCCATCCAGGGCAGTTGGGTCAGCGTGTGGGGCAGTGTGACCCAGCTCCGAGATCTGCCGGGACCCTTCGGGATGCGAATCTGCGAGATTGAAGCCTATGCCACTGCGTTTGACACCCGGCTCGAGGAGCGCTCGTTCAAGCAATGCCATGACCCCAAGACAGAAATATGGCTTCAAAAGAATCTGAGCTCCTCTGTCACTTCCATACCCGGCCTTTGCTCAAAAGCCGTGGCTAACGTGCAGGACATTGTGAACAAGTTTGACATGGCGGAGGCCTGTCGTGGTGCCGGTGTGAGGCTACCGGAAAAGTTGTCTTGCTGCATAGCAGCAAAGCATCCCAGACCCTGGGCACCCTCTGAAATCGAGCATGTGTTTTGCCAGTATGTTTCCAGGGTCTGCCGACGCCGTTCTCGGACAATGGCACCATGCATCACGTGACGATCGGTGGCCTCCAGCCCAATCGCAGCTACGAGGCCTCACGGCGTTTGCAGCGTGGTGAGGCTTCCGGGATAGAGTGATTTAGGGCTCAAAACGGCGCACGAATGCCGGACGCATCCGGACGCAATGCATGCGACGAAACAGCTAGCTGAGCATCCCAATGTGCCCAATCCTGCAGGTTTTCTGTTTCGGGGAGGATGACTATGGCAATCAGATGTACAGCCAGTCGGCACCCGTCACGTTCCACACCAAGGCCACCCGTTAAGAATGGCATAAATCCGGCGTTACGCAAGCATGTCGGCGCCGGACTGCGGCGTGCTTTTCGTACAAGCCTTTCTGTCTTGAGCATAGGTACGTTTAGTTTAGCAGCTGAAGCTAGCGCCCCTCTTGTCCTGATGACAAGTAGGTTGCCGGAGAATCCGGAGCCGTGGGCTCCGAATTCGAGCTGCTACAGCACTGATACACCCATTGGCTTAAACGGTTTTTCGGGTCACCCAGACCACGCGATGCAATGTCACGGGAGTGCTGTGCCACATTGCGTCGATGCACTAAGGACACCACTGCACCAAAGGTGAACATCCAGCACATCTACCCGAGTGACCTGTCCATTACCGTGGAAGTGAGCCCGGAACTCGGTGTCACATGGGCCGTTCTTCGGTCTGGCATTGGGATACCTGCCTCAGACCACGAGGTGTTGAGCAAATATTCAAAAAGAGGACTTCTGAGTCAAGAGGCTTCGGTTGACAGCCATCGATTGAGCCCTCAGGCTTGATGGACCCGGGGCAAAGCTATCCTGCTATGGCCCGCTGCATGGCCACCACCAAGGCTTCTTTCGGGCTCTGGAGTTTGGGAGGCTGCTTCCTTTTTTGGGGTGGTGGGTGCTGCGCTGTTGGGGCAGGGCTGGGAATCGGTAGACGGGTTTTGGACTGTTGGATACACGCGGGATTCGAGCTTCTGGCAGGGGCCCCTTCTCTAATCTCTGTGCACGCTGGAACGAGTTCAAATCACGTGCCCAGAGCATATTCGGTTCCATGTTAAACAGTTGGGCCACCTCAGCTCCTGACATCAAACTACCAGCACCGCAAAACTCTTAGACGGTCAAACTGAGCCTCACTTTCCACCATTCTTGCAGGATGGCAAGGCGCCCCAGGCCAGTCCCGTCTTGGGCTTAATATTTGGGAGTCGAATTGAGAGTTTGTTTCGGCAGCGATGGAGCCACGACTAGTGATTTGCATTTTCCTGATTCTAACCATACGCCCAATAGCATGACACGCACATGTAACCATCAAAAGACCCGTTAGAAGACCCATGCATGAAGACACATTCAGCCCATAGGGGAACCCAGTCGTCGGAAGAAGGCCTGCGTAAAGGTTGCATAGCATCAGAACCATAATGCACAGGTTTGCTCGAGAATCATTTCTTACACATGCACTTCCTTTTTTGCTTTACCAAGCTCGAAACTAAACCTATTGAAGAAGGAACTAAGCTTATTGAACAAGGGGTATTTACATTTCTGAAGAGAAAAACAACAAAGTTGATCCAATAACGAGTTAAGCCAGAGCATGCAGGAAGGTAGACATTTTCCTCAAACGATTGGCGAAAGAATTTCCTGATAATGTGCTGACAATGCACCACAGCCCGAACTTTAGATTGAAGAAGTACTCAATCGCGAGGCAGCTGTTGAATCGTTTGTGCAGTTGATTACTCTGCAGTGTTTGGGAAGCATGAGGTCACAGATCTCACGAATGTAAAGGAAGGGGACTTGAAGAGAACCATATGATAAGCGGAACGTGGATTTCAAAGCAGAAACAAGATCAGATGTATCATGTAAACAACGGTTTACACGCTGAAATACACTGAACAAAACGAACTGGATTGTTCGTTTTGATGAACCCGGAGGATGTGCGTGATTAAAAGCTGATGCTAATGATAGGAAGGTTACTCGTTTATCACGAACACGCTTACAGAGAGAGAGAGAGAGAGAGAGCGCAACATATGCCACATGATTTCATTGAACTGTTGACATGCATTGCAATTGAAAGGGAAGCAAAGACACAAACTATCCAAACGAGCAGCCGAAGCCGAAAACCGCCATCGACTGGAATAGCGAGAACAACGAGATCAAACACAATGGGGGCTTCACTGAGCTGTCTTATACTAGCTAATGTGTTGAGATGGCCATTCCATTTTCTTGGACAGGGAGGTTGGGGTTGGACGCCACGGTCTTTCTGTGTGAGTGGGGCTATAGGCAGTGGCTGTATGGATTGCGCGTGCGGGTCGATCTGATATGCGGGGTCTGAATGGGTCTTCTGACGGCTGTAGTGGTTGAGGAAAGGGTTGTTATGTGTTGGGGATCTAGTGCCAAGCAAGAAAATTACAATGGTCATACTGACTCTTGTATGTAGGAGGCTCGATTGACGATACAAGGTTGGTCATTACAACGATTGAACCTGTGCACGAAGACAAATTGAACAAGCTGTATCTCGCGTTGGGACTGTGCTTTGGGCCAAAGTCTGCAATGTAGGATTCCCCACGAAAGTATTTTCATACGGCACAGTCTGGAGTCGTTTGAGGTGAGTCATGGAGTGTCCAAGTCCAGCTAGCATGTCTGCACAGGCTTGCAGCCCGACTAGTGTATTCCAATAACAAATACATTAGCCGCAGACATCTGTGTCTATGTGGGTATACGGGCACTGATGCTTTTATTCCCGTATGCGAAAGCACATGTCGACCACTGTCTATGAAAATGCAATGACACGGAACCTAGCCATTCGAGAGGGCCTTCATGCCCATCTGCTTACTTTCAATACTGTCCATCGCTGGGTCTGTGGAATTTTCGTTCCTCCTGACTGGAGCAAGAAGCTTGGCTCGGTGGCAAGGTTGAGGTCACAAGCTTCGGAGGGTCGCCGTTCGGTTATGTTCGGTTTCGTCGGATGAGGTTCGAGCCGTTGAAGAAGGTCGTTTTTTCCATCTTCTGGGGTCCGAAGTGCTGAGACGAGGACTCGCTGTGGCCAGAGCACTTGATTCGGATATATGTGCCAGGAGCACGAGAGCTACTTTGAGCATCGATTCTGGCGGCTGCGTTTCGACACCAGGCCTGATCAGTCAGATCATGGGTCGTGTGGCTTCTAAGGTGCAGGACATTTGGGCAAGGGATGCTCTAGATGAGGTCGGCTTGAGAGCAAGGCAGGTCGTCCGAATCGTGTGAAGCCTCGCATGTCGATACCTTTCATCCACCTTTCGGTTCATCGCCTTCAAGGCTTTCGAAGTCCAATGCAATCAAAACCTTGCAGGCAAAGCAATGAACTGCCAAGTCCTGCCAAGCCCGAAAGCGGGTGTGGAGGTACACGAACCTCGACCGAGAGTGCGCAGATCGAATCCTCCTCCGGACGGTCCACCTGCAATCTTGGGGTACCTCTCATTGAACCATGGGCCGATCCTTCGATATTCAGTGTAGGACCTCAACTAAGTCATTGGCAAACTGTGTGGTAAGAAAGTGAATTGGCAGCTTCATGTTCGTCCATGTCATCGCATGTCTTGTCCCGAACTTCGGTACGGACGGAGAGCGAGGACGTGAGAAGATTGCGGCTTTATCTGGATGCCAAGGTGGAATGACCTTCAGGAACGCGATGTTTGGTTCAGATCCAACTTATCCCCAGGATCAGCGTCCCGACGAAGAATGGGATGCCACGCCTTAATCTAATGCCTAGCCCTATCAAATCTATGACAGCCCCCCCACGCCCCTACACCACCTGGCCTAATTTCCTAAAGTGTTTACGAGATTTCTAATTGAAATCCATCACCTGCATGAGGCTGAGGGTAGCCGATAAATCCAAATCTTACACCCGAATACCCTAAGCCCTAAACCCGATAACCCTAATCAAACAAAAATCGAAGACAGAGATCGCCGGAGCCTGCCGAACTCCATCAGGTCCGATCTAGATTGCAGAGGTTCTTTGGATACCGTCCTAAACCGCCCATAACCACCAGAGAAATACTTATAATTAAGTGGCTTACTAACTAGAAACAAAACCATTCTCATTGTTATATAGTACTATGTTACAGGATGTCCTAATGTCTAACCCTCCAGACCCACCCGGCCGATGCATGAGATCCTGAGGGCAGGAAGCAGTCCGACTTTCGCAGAAACTACAGCACCTCCAGGCCACCCTCTACATGCATTAACAAATCATACGTGACAAATGTGGCAACACAGGACGAACCCATTAAGACGGAAGAGAGTTGTGACAATGGAAGAAGTCCGGCTGAGTCGAAGCCCCACTACATCCGTTTCGGAAGATAGAGCCGTAGACAAGGTTGGGCTGGGGTCTGGAGATGAATATTTCCCGGCGTGTGGTTGCGTGGAGTTGTCTCTGCTGCTTTAGCAGAGCAACCTGTAGCCGTACAGGCTTTCGTACAGGCTTTCTTACTCTCTGGGTTAAGCTCCCAGAAGTTTAGGGGTCTGATAAGTACCACCCATGCAGACTTCAACTGACGTCGAATTTCATGTGTACATGTAGCAGCTTCGTTGCAGAGGCTGTCTCACGTAGACCAGACGAGGATTGGCCTTGATACGGACTCGGATGGCCTCGTTGACCTTGTCGAGATCGCACAGTGGTCTTTGCCAATGGAAGATGCATGGGCGGCTTGGCTCGGTTCTGTTGACTCTGTGCCCGGAGAGGCGGAGTAGGCCGGAGGCTTGGGCAGTTGAGTTGTCGGAGACACCTTCCCCGAATCACAGGTTGGCATCGACCTGCAGCATAGGCCCGAGTCTGAGCGCCGCGTCCGGGATCAGGTGCGGGTGGGGGAAGGGGGAGATGTTTTCGTGTATTCCGCCCTGCACATCAGCATGCCCTTTAGGGGGTCCTCTTCGAGGGAGACCTGGCTGTGGCGATTCGCTGGGAAGGCGCCGAGGGGCAGCCATGGATGTCAGCACTCACATTGACATGTCTTTCCTTCACACTTCGGGCTTCTTCTTTTCCTTGCAGCAGAGGGCTGCCCCGCACCACAGATGCAGTCTTTGATTGTTGCCGTAGCCCAGGTAACGTGAACGACCTGGACCTTGTGGTAATTGGTCCAGGACATCCATTGCCACCATGCGATCCCCTGTCCTAGGGCCTAAGGCCGAGTGCCTGCTGGGCAGTGCCTACACAAGCCCCAAATGTTCACAGGAGACGAATACTTGGAGTTCAATCTCACGGACGGGGACTATTACCGAGTCAGCGATTTCGGCGTCTACGCTGTGCAGTGCAACCCAGGAGATCTACCATGTCGTTCATGTGGTTGGGGCAGAATCACAGCAGAGCAGATTCGGTAATTAAGGCTGCATTTGAGTGTCGAGCAAATGCCGCTGAAACAGGAGACAATTGCCCAGCGCCGATCCTGAGCACTGTGTTCGTGCTTGCCATTGCCGGAAAGTATGATGTTCAGGTGCGGTATCCAGGGCCGGTTTCCAAGTAAAGAACTAACTTGCCTTCGTGTCTCAAGTCCCATCGGTGTTCGGATTTCACCAGTTGCACCTTGCCGTGCAGTGCAGCACTGCTCGTCTCGCCGAATCTACGCAGCAAGTGTTGTCGCCTGTGGCCAGGTCTACAGACGTGCTGCCGCTCCGGAGCCTTGGGCAGACCTCCAAATAACTGCCACTGTGCGGCTCTGCGGTGAGGCTGGTGTGAGTTCACACGTTTCTGTGGTTGGGCTATGTTGACCCCACCCTCACTGTCACTCTCACCCTGACTCTGAGATCGGGGGTCTAACAGCGAGGATTCTGGGAGGGATCAAAGCCTGTGTCGCCCCTGTTTGCTTCTACGGTCGAAGAAGTGCAGTGGTTCATGTGTTGCAAACTACAGAAACATTGCCCCAACAAAATGCCAGGAGATGGAGTACAGCGCTGTGCTACCTGCTGACGAGCACAACGATACCATCATCTCGGGTCTCAGTAGCCCAGCTTGCAACCAAATTCGGACTTGGCTAAACATGTTTCTGCACCGCCAGTCGCCACAGTCGCGGGATCGTCGCAAGGCGTGGGAAGGCAGGGCTGCGCCCGGCAGTTCCGACATATGGCACTCTTTGACCAGCTGCGGAGCTGGCAAAGCTCGGCCCGTTATGGCACAACAGAAGAAATGGTGTGGTCTCCTGGCTGCACGTTGAGCACACCTAAGCACAGCAATGCTGGCCAGCAGTGATTGTGCTGCTGAAGTGTCCTTGATTCATTTGCGTCCCTCTCGAGGTTCATGGGGGACACAGACGAGACCCCTGGCAATACTCGGATATGCTAGCTTCGGGTGTTGCTGGACGAGTGTACGCTGTTCCCCCACAGATGTGCTGAGCTTCGCGACCGGTTTGCAAGGACGTCCTGCATGGAAACTGGTGGAGAAGGCACCAGTGTAACCGACAGCAGGTGGGCTGCCAAGGTTGTGCTTCGGGATTGTTTTGTGGATGTTGGGTGTCCTGCTCGATGCTCACGGGCTTTCGAGTTGGAAATCTGGAAGCAAAACAAGCAAAGTATGTCAGAGTTTTGGCCTCGATGCTCGCTACTGCTGGTGGGAAGCGCGGAAAGCTACGAGCTAGTCGTGATCCCGTAAACGAGGAGCAAAAGGCCAAGGAACTTCTGTCGGTGCAGCATGAATATGGAGGGAGTCGCTGGACAGTTGCCGGTCGAGTGGCCTCAACCACAAAGAACACACCTTGAGAAACGTACACAACGCAAAACCATGATCATGGTACAAGTTTTTGCAAGAAAGGGAGCTACAGCATCTCATTCAATTGGCGCAGACACTGGGGATGTAAACTAATATGTTGTAGCATTCCGCGGTCACGCTGGTAAATCCGCTTGGAACTGCCAACAGAAACGATTTCAGTACAGCGGTCATGGTTTGGGTTCATGACAGGTTTGGATGGTTGACAGCAGCATGTTATGCTGGGAAGCTTTGCAGCTTAAGGTTTAGGCCTAAGTGTGAGGGATTAGGGCTTGGTTTCAGCTGGATGCAAAAAAATCACCTCGGTTCTGATGGCAGGCAGCAAAGAGCCAACATGGGATGATGATTACTGAATCTTCTATTGACAGCAAGGGGTCTCTGCCATCTTGTTCGGTGCCAGACATACACTCCATCCTCCTCACGATATGTAAACCACGGATGTGATAAGCCCATGCTCTTGTGCTAAGGCGCGGTTGGGGGGGGAGTGCAGAGCTTTTCACACCGCAACACTGTTGGCACGAAGAGACCTCTCAACCTGTCGGGTTCCATGTAAAGTGCTCATCCAGCCGTCTGCCAGTTGGTCTTTGGACGAGTGGCCAGTAATCCCGTACTGCGAGATGTGAGCACTTTCGAGACACTTCCTGGTTGTTCCATGAGTCTGGGCCGGCAACATCCCCCTGGATACCGGGAGGCCTTGGTGGCGGATGACGCTGGAGAGGACGCAGCTCGTGCGGCTTGACAATCACACGAAGATCACACAGTCGTTTAGAACTGAGTTGCAGCTGAGGCAGGGACTCTGGTTGGCTGGGCTACCAGGGCCTGGTGTGGCGACCATGGCAGCTTGGTGCATGCGGAGGGCTGTCAGGGTGTCTAAGAACTGTCTCCAAATCCACTGCAGGCAGACGTGTACGTCTCGTCAAGCTTCTCGGCAGGATTTCACCACCCTCAGGAATCGGAGGGATCTGCCACATGCTAGCTTGGAGAATGCCGTTCGGTCCGAGACATTCGCGCATTTGCCTCGGTCCGTTCAATCGGGTCGCACTCAAGGCGATCAGCAAGAAGTTGGGACGGTCATCTCGGTGGATGACTACATTGGCCAGACCTTCTACATCTTCAATGAGACGACCCAGTACTGTTACAGGGTCTCCGTAGGCCAGATAGTTGAGGACGCACAGCAGCACGAGTGAAAGCTTTTTTCAAACAATACACAATGATTTTGGCAGAAGCTGCTTCGGATCACAACCAGAAGACAGCACCAGGAAGACACGCTGTCGTCTGTGGCCGCATGTGATGCCACTGGCTTCGCGCCAGCAGCCTCCGCGACCTACTTCTTGATTGGTGGCTACAGTTCCACCGTGGACAACGTACAATCCTACGACGCTCAGCTGAGTTTGCAATCTGCATCGCATCTGTGGAAGCCTGTGGTCCAGCTGTCGTCAATCAAGACTTGTAGGATTTCTTGATCTGTCGGAGCATGCGGGGTAGCGCCCCCCTCTGACAGCTCGGTCTGCGCACTGTTCACACTCGCCAACTATTCCGTTGCAATTTCAGATTGTCGCAGCGGGCAGCACTGATGTGACGCTACTGTAACGGGGGTTTCCTGAGGTGAATGGTGTCAGCTGCGGTGCAGGGCAGCGCCATGCCACCCTCCGTGCGGTGATCGATGCCAGTCTCAGTTCTGTGGTGGTGACACTGGGCGAGGCAGGCTTTCCGGAGTTCGCCGTGTGCTCAACTAGCTTTTCCACTGTAATGCGCCTGCGATTCTGCAATTCTGTCACTGGGAGCTTTGCTTCGCATTTGCCTGGGGAGGTCACAGCATGCCACTACGAAGTCGTGATGCACATACCACTGGATGACGTTCTGACCCAGGGCACCCTCTGCGCACAGGATGTTCCGATCGGAAATCTGCAGGAGCCGTTCATGTCGGCGAGAGGTTGCTTGTGGCAGACTTCGGAGCAGATTCTGTCAGCCGCTGCTGCCAGGATGCTTTCAATCCGGCGTTGCCCATCGCATGCCTTCAGGACTGGCCGCTTCAGACATTACGTTTGCTAAGATGCAACCGCGAATTATACCAGCTGCAGTGGCAGGAAAGCAGGGGCAGCACTGCACCTGTGCTGCAGTTTTGCGAAGGCCTGCTGTCTTGGGGAGTCCTGTGCGCTTTTTGTTGAATGAGGTGTGGGTCGTCGCGAAACCGGAGGGCAAGCGCCTGCGGCTCTGCGAGGCACGGAATGGGGGGCTTTGAGCTTGGGCTGGGCTTTGGCGACTCAGCGCCAAGGCGGAGATCTTCATAGAGCCTCTTCCCACGGTGACGCAGGCGAGCGGTCTCCGAGTGTTCCGAGTTTTGGAGAACTCCAGCTGTTGGCCCGGGGCCGCTGCAGGTGAAGTTCGACTACGGAGACGCTGGAAACGAAGCTCGGCTTGTGGATGGTTGCCTCTATAAGTCTAGCTCTGGTTTGGAAACTCTGTTCCTTCCATGCAACAGCATTGCTTCAGGACTCCGGGTAGCAAACGAGGTCGGTGCCGCTAGAAGGAGGTTCAAAGTGGATAGAGCAGGTGATATCGACTCAGTGTCCGTGGTCCGGTGCTTTCGTTTGCGGTCTCCTGAAGTCGCAACGTGCTTCGACAAAGAGGGACTTTGAGTTTGTGATCTCAGGAGACAACAGGTTCCGTCTGTGGGGCCAACAATATCAGCGTGGAGTTCTCGGACGACGCTTGCAAAGCTATGAGCAGCTCTAGAGTCTAGCTTGGCTGTAGAGCACTGCTTGTTCTTTCTTGACTGTGCGGTGTTCTGACGGGCCCCAGGACAACCAGACCTGGTTGAAAGCCTGGGATGCTTTCGCTGATGGCCTGCTTGCGCAAGAAATCCAGACAGCGCGCTGGAGACTCGTGGCAAGGGGGGAAGTTAAGAGAGTGGTTGTGTGGGTTCCACCGCTGAGGTGCTTCGCATGTAAAGCATGTGGCTGTTTCGACATGCAGCTGCATGTCGAGAGTCGAGAGCCCTTCGCGAAGATCCTCGCAGGAGCTGGTGGCAGCGTTTGTTTGCTCTGCCGTTCCACGCCAACTTCAGCCGTGCAGAAGCTCAGAACTTGACCATCCCAAGGCCAGTCCGTGAGAATAGGGCAGTGCCCTGCGGCAGAACACGGATCACCGGGTGAGGGCTCGCATGACGTAGGTCGTACTGCAGAAGTGCTTCAAACTCGAGCACATCCACCCTTGTGACCCTGGGCAGTTTGCGGGAGAACTCAACCTACGATGTGCTCTGCTGGGCGACAGATGCGGTTCACAACGATATCATGCTCCTGGTCTGCATTTAGCTGCCAACCCTCCGGTTAGTTCCGTGCTGTCTTCCGTCGAGGCAAAGCATGGTGATGTTGCCTCTTCCGTGGGCAGACACGAGACGCTTGTCTAGCATGGCCAGACTCTGCTTTGCTTCAACGGACTTTCCCAGTCGCAAAAAATTGCATCTTGAAGCCTGAAGACCAAGAAATCAGGCATCTGACGACAGAAGTAAAGTCGATTGCAGCCAGGATACGAGACGGGCACGGACACCATCGACTACCCTGGAGCTCGTCGCCTGCAGGCTCGGGAGCCAAGGAGCAGGGAGCGATTCTTCTCCGGCGTCGATATAGTGTCGAGTATATGAAGTCATATAACCGTATATTTTGCGAAGTAGTGTAATGAGTATGATGTGCGATCGCCTCGAACTTGAGAAGTTCGCCTGGCCAGGGAGTGGATGACGAGACCCTGAAATGCTCTGGCTGGGTGCGGGAGTTGATGCCCTGCGAGGAGTCGGCTGAGGGGTTACATGTCTCCAGTGAAAGAGGGCTACTTCGCCCGTGTTTGCTTGTCGAGCTTCCAGGAAGAGATTGCCACCTCTGACAAACTCCAGCCCAGTCTCACGCTTAGAGTGCTGACTTCTGTGGCAGATAGGGTGTATTTGGCACTTCCTACAACCGTCTTCAAGGGAACGGACCAATCCGATCTGAGAGTGCTTGCTGCTGTTGCGACATTGTTGCACCCAAGGCATCGCGCAGGCAACTGTGGCAGGGATTGAATCGACGACCGAAGGCAGACCGGAACTGAACCCAAGCGTGCTCAGTGATGAATGGGTGCTGCACCGCTTCCATAGCGTTTGTTGGAGCAGGAAGCCGAGCATTGCAAGACATCGTCGGCGCATGTCTGCATGGTGCTGCGACAGGTTTCCTGGCGGGTACCACGGAGCGTGTCACGTGGCAAATGGAGCTCCGCGATTCTGCTGCACAAGAGCCACCATTCCCAGATTTCTGCGAAGCAGCACAACTAAGTAGTCCTAAAACGGTGAACGACCACAGGAAAGACTACTGGCATGCCGCACCAGCACCACGTTCTGACATCTCAGACCCCGCCCGAATCATCCCAAGCCTCAAAAGCCCGCATGGCAACGGGCACAGCGAAGAGCTCGAGAGGTCGAGCAGTGTGGCCCTGCCAGGACTTCAGACACTTCGAGCCAATAGACGGCATTATCCGTAAACTCGTAAAAGCTCGTAAACTCCACGTGGCGGTTGGGATAAGAGCCCGGCAGGCCGACTACTTGGGTGTGGCACTCCCCGGCGAGACACTTCGAGTGTCTTGAGGCCAAATGACTTCGGTGTCCTCGGCCGGGCCCGCGCGGGACTAGGCAGAAATCGGTTTTGGCCGCAGACCTCTTGATGTCCAGAGCAGGAGCCGCTGAACCGCTCTTGCACGCCGCGTTTGCGCAAGCGCCGGCGCGGGGGCCACCCCTCGCGGGCTCAACAACGTAATCCAATCCCCTAAACTCTCACACTAGGTCAGCAGGAGCCAGGTAGTGTCGAGACTCACTACTCTTGGATTCCTGAAATCCTGCCAGTCTTGTAGTTTAACTACTATTCTGAGACACTTAAGGGTGATTTTTTCGATTCAGAGATCAGGCGATGGGAGTTGCAGCCATCGCCTCGGTGGAGTCGCTCTCTGCATCGTGCGATGCGAAATCGTCGAGGAGGACCTGAGCTGGTTGGTCCAAGCACCAGGCGGAGCTATGCATTTGGGTTTTGTGTCTTTTTGGGAGATCCCAGGAGTTGTCTAACCGAGCTCAGATCTGGGACCCTGAGTAGCTTCTGAGTGTCAGTGCCTCCGAGCCTGGTCTCAAGATGCTGGCCAGCGCTGAGGTGACGGATGTCAATACCCTCGATGCTCGCAGAAGACCTGGTCGAACGAGTACCCGGTGTATTTGGTGTTTGGGCAGCTGCGGCCCGCAAAAGAATACACAGTGCGATGTCTCGTGATGGATCCATGGGGCAACGCCGTCATGAGCGACTCGAAGATATGGATCCCTGGACACACCACAGAGTCAACGTCCAGCACCCCAACCCCAACAACCCAAGCACCAACTCCACCTCCCACCACACCTGCACCGACTACTACAACACGTGCAACGCAACCCCCGGTGGACTACTTTACCACACGACCACCAGCTACGACACAGGGTGGAGGTGGAGGTCAGACAGCGCCTTCCACCACTCGGCCGCCCCTCATTTATACGACATCGGCTACTCCAGCACCGCCCACACTGCCACCAACCACCACGACCACAGCAGAACCTACAACAACTCAACCTCCCACAGTCCCTCCGTGGCTTGTGGACTTTACCCCTTCAGGCCCAGTGAGAACAGAGCTTTCTCTCAGCACTTCTTCAAGAGAAGATGCTGAAGAACTGACTTTCCCCGCTGCAACATATGCGTTGCTTTCAGCACTCAGGCTAGCACTAGGGCCACTCAGCTTTCTTGGTACGAGTTTTTGTTGTCCTCTTTCCCCAGTCAGGCTTACTACGGAGTGAGACTCTGTAGCATCGGTGAGTTTGATCAAGCATCTTTTTCAGGCTCGGCACCAGCGACATGCTCGTCATTCTGGGCATGGATGTGTACTACCAAGGCTGGCAGCCTGCTCTGCCTCTCGTGGCAGGACTCAACTAGCTGTCAGAAGATCATTATGTCCATGACCTTGTCTACCGATCAAGTTCTGAGTGCAGAATTTCTAAGGAGCTTGGGTTCAACATCTGTATCTATTCATACTCATATATGTAAGTACATGTGTACATACATAAGCCCCACACACACATGTACACGCATGCATACATACACATACATACAC